TGACTTTGGCTTTCAGAAGTGGCAAGCTCACCACCAGAGGTAGTTAATCAACAAGGCTTATTAGGTCTGGACCATGAGCTACTGCTGAGGGGGGAAGGTTCAAAAGAAATGGGAGACAGCCCAAATCAATGCCTGAAGAGGTCATTACCCAGGCAACACATGCTATGTATTCAAGTAAAGTTATTAAAATATATATATACACACACCCCATCTCAGTGTATTTTAAATTATGTGTTCTGGAAATGCACTGAATTATCTTCATTTGTTCTGAGTTTATGTATGCTTGCACCCTCATTTTAGTGTAAAGAAAGTTAACTTCTCCCTGAAAGGGCAAAGGAAGAATGAGTAGGTAACCAGCATCCTGGGGTTAGGGTGAAACTAAGTATTTCATGACCCAATCAGACTGTTAACCTCTAGGATCACTGCTATGGAAAGATATAGTTAATATACATATACATTAACTACAGAAAGAGGGTTCATTTCAATATACAGTTCATAAAATTTGGGAGGGAAGAATTGACATTCCATCCCCTGCTCCCCCCAAACAAGGAGTTAAAGCAACCTGAAGTAGACCCTCTCCAACCAAGCCCTAGGGATGAGCAAGGCAGAAGCCTAGACTGGATTCAGAGAGACAGAGTCTATACAGTGAGTCGGTTTCAAAAACAGAGCACAAGGATGATGCCCTGGGAACGACTGCACATGTGTAAAATGAAGAATGAGGACCCTGGTCACAGCTGGCACCTCTAGGGTGATCTCTGGGTGGGATCATGCTTTCTCTGCAGCTAACAAGGAGCGAGCCCAGCAGGCTGACTGGCTGGGTGGAGCCACGTAGGCTCTCACACACTGGCGTGGCCAGCAGGAGGTGTGGCCTGCCCAGACACCCGTGTCTCCACACTTGGGGGTGGGACACAGACGGACGTGCCACCTGGGATAGTGTGAGGCCAACCCATCCACAGGTTTAGAAGAAAATCAAGAGAAGCATAGCATGCCAAACTGTAAAATCCTTATTTACCAACTTGGCCTGTCAGAATTCCAGCTGGTTTTCATAAAATTTAAAGAAATAAAAGAGTGAAGGAGCTTGTACCAAAACACCGTGAGGCAGCTCACACCATGTGTGCCTCCTCAGAGCACGGTGCGGGCAGATCCTCTGGCCACCATCCACCTAACCAGGGCCACATCTGCTCTATTTGGGTATTCTGAGATGACACAAACAAATTTGTTTATTAAGAGTAGGTGTTCTTAATCTTGAGGAAAAAGACAAAACATGCCCAGGAAACATAGTTAACCTCACAAGGAGGCCAGAGACAAAGAGTCCCGGAAAGCCACTCATTATTCACAGTCGAAAGAGAGACAAATACTTTTAATATTTTTAGGGATGCACACAGAAGGAGTTAGGGATGGAATCGCACTGAGATATGGGGAAAAAAGATGAAGAGTAAAAAGAAACAAGTGTGACAAATGCTGACTATTGTTGAATCTCAGTGTTGATAAGTGCTGTCAGGGTTTATTAAACAGGTAGTCCTGAGGTTAAAGACAAGATATGTTTCCTAAGAGTGCCTTTACGTCAATTTGTACATAACTCTGATCCCTAATGAATAGCACATATATGGCAATAATAATAATAACAACAAGACTATAATGGTTCATATGTGGTAATGACAATACAGGGTAATACTGTAACAATAAAAATAATTCCCTGTACTATAATAATAAGTTACAGAAACAACTGTGCTTTTTTAATTCAAACAAACAGAACATAAAAACAAACTCATACAAAAAGTTTAAATAGGAGAAATTTCAAAAGGGAATATTAAAGGTTAACACTCACCTCGTGTTACATCAACCTTAACCTAATAGGAATGTCACACTTATTTTGATCTTCTAACCAAATCAATAGTAATCTTTCCATTTCAATAATCAGTCCCCTACGCTGCTTAGTACTAATTCATGTTTTCAGTGGAGCACTGCCTCTCCTGTGTCCCATTATTCTCACTTTACCTTTTATAACTGCTCCAGTAGCGCAATGCTGAACCTAATGCCTTCCCACTGGATGGCGACCCTTCTCCAAACACTTAATATTTCTACTTCTGTTTCCACTTTCATCACCTTTCTCTTCACGGAGGCTCACCTGGACTTGCGGTGGACTTTTGCTTAGGAGGCATGGTCATAAGGGTAAACACAGACTCACAAAATTGAACAAAAAATTAAGACAAAAGCTACACTGTTCATGGGCAGTAGGAACCATGAGACTAACTCAAGACTCTGTGCCAAGGAACCGCTTCAATCTGCGTGGGTTCATTTACTTGTGCAGAAGAAACTAGTTCCTGAATTATGAATTTAATTACTTAATTATAAATTATCCTCATAGGGAGCCTTAGGAGCCCATTGTAAGTAAGGAATGCTACAAGTCAGGCCATCCATAACCCAGAGACTGCCTGTACTTCTGCAAACATTTGAAAAACTACATAATTGAACATTTTTTGAACAGTGTGCAAGACAAAGCAGAGGCACTTGGTCTCCAGTGTTTCCCACACACTTCATCATCTGTGAAAGCCAGTCGGAACAATATGGGACCAGTAGTTACAGAAGGCTGGAATCTTCTAGCCCCACAAATATCACATGTAATTATTGAGCATATTACATTTGTTTGAATTCGGATGTGAGGAGTGAATTAACCAGACTTCTCAGGTGATAGCCCATTATCAGCAGCCTACACAGGCTTCTCACTCACTGTTTGTGCACTTGTTCTGACTCATTCCTCTGCAGAGGCAGCCCTTCCTCACATGCTCACATGTAAGTCTATGTGCTCTGTTTTTTACATAATTATAAGGTCTTCATTTTTTCTTCTTTTTTTAAATTTCGGATTAATGTGAGGGTATAAACAAGTAGGTTACAATGTTTGCATTTGTTAGGTAGAGTCCATCTCTTAGTTGTGTCCTATACCCAACCGGTGTGCCATGTACCCTTACATTGCGTCCATTAAGTGGGAGCACACCC